TCCTGGCACGTCAGTCTGCTCCGTTGCAACAGTAGTGAGTGCACTTCACATTACTCAGCCTGGGATCCCCACCCTGTAAATTGGGACCATAGACTCACCATGTCCCGCAGCAGAACATAGATCGCAATAACAATACAGCCAGAGGACATTCCCGGGACACACTGAGTAATAAGTACAAGCGTGTCAAAGATGCTTCAAAGCACCTCTAATTAGTGAAACTTGGAAAGTACAAAGACACTACAAGCAAGTCAACTTCATTTTCTGGTTTAGGTGTCCTATTTACAACACTGTTTTTAGTTCCTTCTCGCAAATAATTACCCATGAGACTACTATTTGGCACTCTGGCAGGGTGTACCCCTTTACACACCCTGCACAGCTGGGAAAGCCCCTCCTGTCTTGACCATAACACTTACTCACTGTCAATAAATCTCATTTCAATGTTGACATAATCATTCTCTATCAAAATGTCTTCATAAAGCCAACTAAATGCTACTACTATTTTGGAATCCCTGTGTGCTTTACTGCCTCATTCAAAATGCCTGCCCTGGGGTTATGAACAATAGCAGAGGCAGACGGTGCAGCCTTGAGCTCTGGATACATGGAGGGGGTGTTGCCTGTTGCTTAACCTGTTGACTCACAGCGCTGGTAAGAAATGAGCGCTTCGTCTAAACCACAGGAGCTCACAACCACGAGCCGTCCACCTGAGAAACACCAAGGAGCGGCTCATATTAGAAACCGATCCAAGCTTTGACGAGACCGAGAAGTCAGCAATAAGTTATTTAAAGCTGGACTAAAAATGGCCATTGCGTACTTACAGGTTTTCTTTAAATAATCAAGAGACAAATTTACACCAATGGTTTTTCAAAATGTGTCACACCTTGTACCACGAAGAAAAACAGACTAACCAAGTATGATGGGGCAAGGAAAAGAAAGGCAAAAGTGTGTATAACTGGGTGCTAAGGTTGTATCAAGTTAATCAATTATCAAAATAGTTGAAATAGCAACCGTAATTGCCAGACAACGTGGTTTAAATTCTGGGGTCTATATAAAGAAGTGGCCAAAGTATGTATTTATCATAGGTAGAGTATGCACCAAGAAACTGGACACAGCTCTCTCCGCTGATGTTTATGTGAACAGCAGACAGAGCTGACACAAGGAAATGCATGAAGTACAAAGGGTCTCATTTCAGGGCTGTTATGGACACACTATCAAGTTTTAGGAGCTTTATGACGCTTGTTTATTGTCCGATTGGTAAGTAAGTCTGTACATAGACGCTAACAGTTAAGGTAATGTGAGGTATTGTTTGCCTCCTCAGAGAGTTCACTGTGTTATTCACCAGGGTGCTTTGTACTTCACAAGTCGACATTCTGTGAAAACACCTCGCCCTTCATGCGCGACCTGTTAAAATGGCGTGGACAAAATGTACTTTATTTTGCTGCAGCGGTTTATACATACACAGGTCTGCTTAATAGTCCAGGAAGTACAGTAATATTTGAAGCATAGATAGACTTATGACTAGACTAGAAAAGAGGTTTTATGACTTCAACCCAATGTTACCAAGTCACTTTGTTTTGGTCAAATGTGTAAAAAAATCCCATATTGACTGAGCTCAAACTTGGGATCAAAACAACCAGTTGATTAATCAAACAAATATTCAGCCAACTAATACACAATGCAATACAATTTATTCTTGAATAGCCCTGAATCACAACATTATAGTCATCTCAGAGGACTTAACAAATCCATTGAAATCACCAACACAGATCAGAGAATCAACAGTTAAGACACAAAAAACAGAACAGAATACAGAACACATGTTGAAAAATGTCCATAAATGTTGTAGAATGTTAAAGTGTCCATCATCACCACAGCACCTAAATGATTATCAAAACTATCATGAACTACAGCTCTAATGTAACATGAACATCAATGCTTTTTGAAGAATTTAAAAACATGCAGTAAAATAACTAAACATGTAGTTTTTTCCTCGTTCTTCAGACGCACAAATGTCAGAAGGAAGCCTGAGAGCTGTTAAACCCATAAAAAGTTGTTCATTAACAGAAACACAAGGTCACGCAGCTGTTTCACTGCGAGCTTTCTTTCATTTGTTCCCGTCTATAGTTTTATCATGCGACAGAAACAGCCTGATGAGTATGTATGTGCGCGCCAGGCTTATGGGCTTTGCTTGCTCCTGTCACAGTAACCGGTCATTACAGAGCAGCTCCCAACATGGCTGATGTGTGATGACAGCCCCTTCTACGCGCCGCACAGCCATGACTCATAAACATATACGTCTGTGTAACTGATGCTGGGTGTTATCCATCTTAAGCACACACGCCTACTCGCGCTCGGTTGACCTGCTTATTGTTATCTGGGAGATAGTGTGGAAAAAATGGCATTATTCACTATGAATATCTGGTGATTAGTCATATAAAAAATTGCCTGTGCGTAGGGCTTGGCGATATGGCAAAAAAGTAAAATCTCTATGTCTTTTCCTGCTTTGGACGATTTTGATTTTAAATGAATTTTCATTAAAGTCACCAAAGACAGACTTTGCCCTTAAAAATATTATTTAATCTTTCCGCTAAATATTCAAGTTTCAAAACTATTTTTAATTTGTTTCCCCAATACTTATTATAAAAGTCTAGTACAGACTGTGTTGATATTGCAAGTATAGTTCATGTGCTGCTGGAACTCTCACTATAACCTTCATTCGATTTCACGATTTTCACATATTAGATTTTTTTCAAAAGCCGATTAATTGCCTACATTCGATTTATTGCCCCCCCCCCTACCTGTTCGTAGTCTGTGTGAAGGACCGTGAAGGCTGAAAAACAAATGTAATTCATACAAAACAGTTTAATGAGAGTGTACTGCTGTAATTTTGATGTAATACAATTTACTTTATGAAACGTAATCATTTAATGTTTTGATATTTTTTTCTAACCCCTAGTCATTCATCATTCATTCAGTCATATCATTGCCCTTTAACAAATGGTTGAGATGCGGTTTGATCTTAAAAGAGCCTAAAACCAAGTGAGATGCCCCAAGTAGGTAGATTTCAGTTCCAATCGTGCTCCAAGTAGATGAAAGGGTTAAATGGCTGAGTTTATGACATATCTGATGGATTGCCATAATGGTGTCTGTAAAATGTCATCATCTAAATGAATATTGCTATTGTCATTTTTGTCAATATTGTCCATACCATTACTGATCAATTGTTTGCAATTAGGGCTACAGCGATTATGACAAAAATCAATACATGACCATTTCAAACCATATGTTTCCCACAAAAGATCCTTGAACTCATCTTTGATAAATTTCATATAAATTGTTGATACGCAGAACAAGTGAGGTGTTTTGTGATTACATGGACTTTATTCAACAAGTACATTAGTCCACTAAAGGGCGCAGGATTTCATGTTGTAATGTAACACGTGGCCAACAGTAGATGGAGCAAAACAAAGCTGATAGATTGGTTTAACTTGGAACAACCACTGTATATAGATGGACAATGCTAACCTGCCAGCTCAATTAAACACTATAGGGAAGTGCTCAAAGACAAAGTTTTAGACAACGTTTTAGTCCAACTCGCTTTGGCTTCTATTGACTTACATTGAAAAGTAAACTCCTCTATCTCAGTAACCGTTTGTGTTGCACTCACCAATTACTAAATGATAGAAATACCATTATATCATTTGAAGTCGTCAAAGCCATAAAATTACTTTTTCTTTCGCAATTGTTACTAAAACAGATTGTGTTCTCTACAAATTCAAACCTCTACCAAATATGGTCATTTCTGGTTCCATAATTGCAACATGTCATAAAACACGCTCTCTGGACACACTGAGTGATGTCACGCACTTCTCTAGAATGAGGCGTACACCATTTGGCTTTGAGCTCATGTCCGCCCTTTGGAGACTGTACCTGCCCTAGACCAGGACGTCCCACCACAGCTAATAAAACCTTCATCTCTCTCCTCTGAGTCAGCAGAAACAACCGTACAGGTCCCCCCCCTGTTTTTCAGGGGGGACCCCCTCCTCTCAGCACTGTGCAGTGATCGGTTCACACAGGAATGTTTTAAATAGCTTGTGTGTCTAATGAGTATAAGAGTTTAAAATCCTCCAGTGGGCAGTTCACATTCTTAAACAATGCCTGAGCTCTTGCCCCGGCGAAGCTTTATTTGGTAAAACATCTAGCATCACCTCAAATATACAAATGTGCGGTGTAGTCATGCAATATTTGATCTAGAAAGAGAAACATTTGCATAGTTGTGGTCGCAATAAATACAGGATATTCTAACTAATCTCACAATTGCATATTTAAGTGAGCTTTGCGTCAGAGATGAGTTGGTGTGGATGATAATTATGACAAAAGTGGCCATTAAAACTATGGCAGACAATACAACTGGTAAGTCATCTGAATATAAATGTGTTGTTACAAATGATATTGGCTAAAAGTGGCTAAAAACACATGTGTAAAGAAATGTGATTAAGAAAGATTGTTAAACTCATGTATAGAACAGACCCTCTGTGATTATATAAAATTATCTCACATATGAAAATGCCAGCAAGGATATGTTGACAATAAACAATGGTAGATACGACTAATAACTACAGCAATAGCCTGAGAACCCACTGTAGCTTTCTGTGTGTAGAAATAGTCATTAAGCATAATATATAAAGTGCTATGAATATACTGAATCTTGAACAAGTTGCCTGCTAACAACAATGCTTCCAAACTCTCTCCAAACAAGTTTGAAAAGCCCCTAACCCCCTACTGACGTCCCAATCAAAGCAATGTCATTGTAAAGACCCAACTCTTTACCCAAACACACTCCCTACTGAGTGCAACAAAAGGCAGGAATCCACAGAAAAATGATGAACTTTCCTGGTGGTCAACTCCTCTTTCCCCCAAAAACATCCAGCCCTTTGTCAAACCCCATCCTAGACAGAGAGATAATGTACGGAAAATGAAGAGAAGCTGTGATTTTTCCTCACCAGATAGTTCATTTTGTCCTGTTGGGAAGGCAGCTCTGGGAAGGCAGCTCTGGGCAGGGCCTTTAAGCTCAAGCCCCGGCCAGACTATTCTCCAGCTAATTCCGATGTGGGAAGAACAAAACTCCAAGATAAATCCTTGAAAAAGTTGCCTGGCTTTGTCTCCTCTGCTCTGGGCTCTTTCAGTTGCATAGACCCTGGTCGGTGGGACGCATTCTGCCGCTGCTGTGACCTAACTCTCCAAGTATGAGACTGTTGCTCTGGCCCATTTACTTCGGCACTGCTCCCCCCCGGTCTTCTCCTGCTCCGACCGCTACGATCCAAGGAGGAGAGAGAGAGGGGAGGAGATTGTAACCCGACACGTCACTTCCCGCTTGGGTTCTGACATTCCCCCAGTGCTCTGTGGGCATTGGGCTGAAGCACATGTAAACGCTCCATGAGGCTCTCTCCTCCTCCTCCTCCTGGCCTCTCTCTACCTCCACATTATTCCTCCTCCTCCACACTGGGTTACTTTGTCCTCCTCTGCCCCCTGGTTGAGGCTGCTCTCACACACACTTCAGTGCATAAAATAGAAAATATAAGGTAATAATGAATGAAACTAATTAGAAAAAAGCCATTTTTTTTTCTCATTCCAAGGGAGACATTTCTTTTTAAAACAAGATCATTTTTGATTGTCCCATTGGCAAATCTCGTATTAAGGCAGTGAAAATGTGCTATACTACTATACTCAAAGAGCCTCAATATCTACTGCATATACAGTATATATGATAGTAAACTTTAAAACTAAAGTATGTAAGAACAAAGTTACATTTTTACATAGTGGAAACTGTTCCTGGTACGTTTTTAGTGTTTTCCTATTTTTGGTGCATTCACACATCTCTGCACGCACACTTCTGTCTTTTGCACAATCTGAGTGATTCCATCTATGCCAAATGTGACATGTTCATTTCTCCAGTGTGAGATCAATAAAGTCCATCTTATCTTATCTTACCTTATATCAAGGACAGACTTTGGTCACTGTTTTAGCTCCTGTTCTGGGGGTGGTACTTTCCATCCAGGAATCTTTTGGTGAGATAACACTGACTTTGTTAAAAACCATTTTGTATTTTTTCAGAATCAGAATTGCTTTCATTGCCATTGTAAGTCACAAACAAGGAAATTGCATTTGGTACACAGTGTACACAAGTTAGAAAATAATATACAGTATATGTAAGGCATGTAAAGGCATAAAAAATACATAAGGCATAAAGAGTTCTAATATACAAATACACACTATAGACATTTAAAAGTGTCATTATGATCTTCTATTGGTAGTATAAGCTAAGCACATTCTTATTTGATTGGGACAGTAGGTTTGATGAATCATAGACACAATCTTCCACACACACTGTACCTGGACATGTGTGTGGACACGTGAACTATGTCTAGTAGAGTCATGACTTGTTTTTACCCCCAAATATAATTACACATGCGCGTACATGTTCACTGCTCGTGGTTTGAGTCCTTTCCAGCCAATTTTACACTGTACGTAGAAACTGGGATGTGTTAAATTGCCACCTTTGAAACCATTTCCACTATGCAGATAAATGGGAAAAAAATAATAAAGATCACGGTTCAGTACATAATTTAGGTTTCGCAATATTTGATTTGATTTGATTCTTTTTTTTAATTTCCATTTTAGCTGCTCAGCCGTTTTGCATGAAATCTACAGCACATTAAAACAGTCTTATAAGCTCATTACCTCACTCTCTCGTACACAATCCTATCTTGGAAAGACTCTGCTTGGTGAATTCAGTTATTTCTATTATTAGGTTTCACATTTCATAACACTAAATGCTCACTACACTAGTAATTAGCAGAAAGTGCAGACTTGAATAGCCCATTAAAAGGTTTGAGAGTCTAATCCAGAGTCTGTGAGGAGCTGTATTGTTTAGCCTGCTAATTAGGCAGCTTTACCATGATGTCTTCCTATAGTAGAAGAGATACATGTGAATCGCATTACACCATGAGACTAACCAGTGTTTGCACAAAAAGAAATGTTATTCTTCTTATTCATTCAAAGTTCATGCAATCTAATTATTTATGCCTTAAATATATGGCATCACCATTCAGAAAGCATGATGGATGAAAGAATGAAAGAAAGAGAGAATGTCACTATTTGGCCATATTATGTATTGGATCGGGAAACTAAAAAAGCACTCTTTGAGCACAAACCTGCACCAAGAGGGAGGCACAGTTCCATTCTGGATAGAGCTTCCTCTGGGACCAATGGAGCATGTGATGTGTAATTAACAGCTCCATGCACTCTCCCACATGTGGTGAAAATATCAATGTGTGTATCATGCGTGTTGGTGGAAAATAGGCAGTTTCTGTGTTGGCTTTGAGTTTAGTCGCTGCGCTGATGCCTCGGCACCTCCCCTCTGCTCCGGAGATAACGCTTCTGGGATGAGACACCGCATTTACTGCTTGGTCTCAAAAACCTCAAGTCCGAGCCAGGCAGAGGGGCAAAGCATTTTCAAAATCCCTGCGTCCAGACCAAGGGTGGACAGCCTTATATCTTTTTTGGTTGTATGTATTTTACTCATTTGATGTGATTCTGTGTGTTTTTGTGTGTGTGTGCATGTGTGTGTGTGTACCTATAAATATATGCGGTATGGGATGGGTTTATTGGGTGGTCGGGTGGAGGGGTCATGGGCATGTGGGATTGAAACTGGTCCCCAAAGTAGCTGCAGGTTTTGTTCCAGACGCCACCCATTTCCTCAGGTGAGTCCAGTTTTAACCTGAAGATTTGAGGAAATGGGTGGAGTCCGGCTTGCTCCTGATCAGGTTAGAACTAAAACCTGCAGCCACCACAGCCCTTTGAGGACCGCTTTACCCACTCCTGATCCAGACTGTGGTCCTTGATCACCTCCAAAATGAAATCACTAATTAACTTTGCTTCCAAAAATGTTCGGAGCTGGAGTCCTTCATTCGTTCACGAGAGAGTAAAACAGATTAGCTGAGCTCGGGAATAATGTTATAAGAAAAGACGAGATAGAAGCGTGCCATTCAAAAAACTCTCCAGCTGGCAGTGAAGCAAATATCCACCGACAGCTGTCAATCATCGCCGCTGCATGTCAGGTGCTGTGTTTGATGGAGCGTTAAAAAGATGCTCGCTCTAAAGTGCCGTGTCATTTTGCGCGCAGCATCCAAACATTTCCCTATGAATAAAGCTGACATGGATTCACTTTTCGGGCTCATCAGAAATGCCATTATATTTTGTCAGATTTGGATCAGTTGCGTCATTCCTCTGCAGCCCAAATGCCTCTGTGCTGGGGGACACAGGGGGACACAGGGGCACATTGTGTTGATGTCCAGTTTAATGTTCATTCAAGAAGGGATCTGCACTGTTCACAGACTGCTCCACACCAAATAGGTCACAGGGTTTCTGAATATGTAAATATTCAACATAGGCTCGTGAATGCTTTGTTTGTGTCTACACTTGGCATTTAGCTGCACAACACGGCTCCTCCATTATACAAGGTTGCAATACAACCTCCAAAACATATCTTACCCCCTTTCTGCCATTCATTTCCAACGGGATTCTGTCAATGTATGTCTCTTTAGTCGTCCTCGGTGGTGGGATTTGTTTTGGATTACAGTTGGATGAGAAACAGTTGAATATAAGGGACATAAAACGTACTGTAAGATACTATGTTAAAATTATTGTCAATGGGAACTTGTCTTTGCAAATATCCCTCTGAGCAATGGACACTCAACATGTCTTTTTTAAAACAGAGGACGTGTCAGTCTTAGAGGGGTCTGTATGATGTCAGGGGTCTCGCATGAGAAGGATGTGACCGCTCGATTATCTCAAACCCTCTCACAGAAGCACCCCTCTGCCGCTGAAAGGCTCATTGTGCAACAGACTTTTGTCTATCTACTGTTTTGGGAATGATTGTTGTCTGAATATATAGACTAAGTCGAAAATAAAAATTACATTGTTTTTTAATCAAAATGTTCAATCCTAAAAGCCTAAACAAAATACCGAATAACTTAATGTGAACAATGAGTGACTTAATGTTATCCGAAGCTAATAGTGGGAGCCCTCCACACTGAACATGGCAGTGTGAGTCATGCCAAAGGCAGTGCTTTGTTCTTGTGCTCCACAATCAGCTGAAGTGACAGCTCGCACTCACACGCTGCAGGATGTGTGTTCACCTCTATGTCTACTGTAGTTAGTACATCCCACAACCGCTCTGGGCACATGACTTTTATTATTCATTAAATGTCAAGTTTATTTGAACGTGTGGTTATCAAGTCTGTCTGTTTCCAATAAATAATTAGTTCTTTACATGTTTTTCAAATGTCCATATTGAAGGTTAAGCTGCACTTGTTGCCTGATCAGCAAAGAATACGTTTATCTAAAAACAGACGAGCGTCTGACTCCGGTTTTATCTCCACGAGCTCACAGAGACGTGACAGGACAAGGACACACATGCATCAGAATCAAAACAAATATGGCTGCCCAAGAGTAAAAGAAATCACAGGGACTAAATACTCTTTCATTGTTGAATCAACGACTCTGGCCTGTGATGTCATAGAGGACATCACTTAAGATGAGGACGATTGCCCTGGGGCCAAGTAAGAGGCCCCAAAGCAGGGTTTTCCCTTGTCCCTTTTCGTTCTGGAATCAACTGTTTTAGGCGATGAAACTGTAAGCTCGTTGATCAATACTGGATTGGTTTGGTGTGTGGGTTGATTTTTTGTTGGGCGAAGCAATGTTGGTTTGGGCCTTACTGTTTAGTTGTTGGTGCAAGAAAATATGCATCCCTGCTTTAGAACATATACAGAAACCGATCTGAATTCCAAGATAATAAATTCAGAGCAAGTTTTCAAAATGTTCTAGCTGACAACTCAAAAGTTGTAGTGAGATTGAAAGTATTTCACTGTTAGAGCTTTGTCTTCTGACCCCACATGCATGTTAGCATTGACACAACACTCTCTGACACAGCAAACTGCATCTGTGGCCCCCATGCCACCATGTACTTCCAAACAGAAGGCATTTTTACTTTTCTGCTCTTCCTGCCAGTTGATGTCATGCTGACATTTGGAGTAAAGGCCTTAAAACAGAACCACTTGGTGTGAAAGGGGCACAAATGGCATGCTGACCAACTCCAGTCTCATCACTCCATGCACTTATGAGACCTACCTCTGCCTGTGGAGCCCCCTGCAGGCAGTCAAACATTCTACAGAAAACCTAAAGAAATATAAACAAATCAGATATAAGACTCAGAGCTACATTGATAAATATTTGACATTTTATACATTTATTTGGGCAACAATCTTTAGCTGGTGGCAAAGTATAGGGGCTACTTTCCAATCAGAGAGTATCATGTGCAATCTGGTCTCCATCCCTCATCCCCATTCA